GGATTTCCATCGTCATCATTAAGAAAGTTACAGGCTGGCCAGCTGTACTTTCTACTTTAAGCTGAGAATTGTCAAGCTGGAAATTTCCGTTGTTTGAACAACTAGACATCTGTCATAACATGACATCCTTCAAAATAAGAGTGAACTTGCTGACGCCTGCCGACTGCTACCGGAGCCGACCCACAGACGGGCTTTGTAGTGCTGCGACCGCTGTTTCACCAGCTCCGGTACATCCGAGGTCCAAGGACCTGGCATTTCCTGATCTACACGGGAGACTCCATAGGTACGTGGTCATGGCACAAAATGGCGGCTCATGTCATCAGCTTCTGAAGCCTCGTGGTAGCCTAGTCATAACAACCAGATTCGCTACGTCAGCCTAGAGATTCTGAACAACACACACACACACACACCAACACGAAACATCCAAATCCATATGCATTCATCATTGAGATAGTCCTGGTAGATTGTAAGAATTTATAATTATAGAAATTAAAGCTTCTTAAACAATCCGAACTCTCTCTTTTCTTGTCTCTCAATCAATACAGAGTGTTTAAGTAAACTCCCTGATGATAAAAACAACCACTTCTGATTAGAATATTTAGATCTAATTACAGTGTATAAATATACAAACTTCAGATCATTACAAATGGCGAGCCAGCCAGGAGATTCTGAACAACACACACACGCACACACCAACACGAAACATCCAAATCCATATACATCCATCATTGAGATAGTCCTGGTAGATTGTAAGAATTTATAATTATAGAAATTAAAGATTCTTAAATGATCCCAACTCTCTCTTTTCTTGTCTCTCAATCAATACAGAGTGTTTAAGTAAACTCCCTGATGATAAAAACAACCCTTCTGATTATAATACTTAGATCTAATTACAGTGTATAAATATATAAACTTCAGATCATTACACTGGAATTGGAAATTTATTTTTCAGCACATCTTAAGGATACTTCCTCCAGTATTTATACAGATCACCAGTTTACCTCTTCATTCAAATAGTCTGTGTAAAATACAAAAGCATTTTCCCTGCATGATAATTGCAACCCTCTCAGCTAAAAGCCCACACAATAAATGTAAAACACAGTGCACTGAGAGCTGCAGGCTTTACGGTCTGGATTAATAAGCCCGTACCCAGAGGTAATGACTCTTTTCGTCTGCCTTCTCAGGAGTCGATCTGCAGGAGCGCCGGAGGGCGAGCTCACTCGCGAACTCACTATGAGGAATAAATTTCCCGTTAAGTGGCTCAAAAGTCTTCCTCAGTTAATTACAGTTATGTATATTTTGGCAGAATTTCTCTGAATAAAGAGAAATATTAAATGGTAATTACCTAGGATGTCACGCTGGCTCACATCTCTATAGGATCATTGTTGACGAATCAATAACACACATAAGGGCTCCGGCTGTGCTGTTCATGTTTTGTTTACAGGGAGATTTATTGAATAGAAAATGATCGTTTTGACTGAGTGACTTGTATCCTGAGGGTTTGCCATGTGGGCCTGAGGTGTAGCATAAAAGGTTTGATTACTGTATTCAAAAAACATTAGAGTGTAATGTAAGCAAGACTGAATTTCCTCTTTATTATGTTAACTAGAGTGGATGCTTACCAAGCCAAAGTCACCAGTTTATGACCCTGGAGAGAGAAGACAAGACAATTCAGAGAAATGTTGTACCACTCCTGCCTCCTTTATCCTTTTGTCCTTAAAATAAAAATAAATTGGCAGACTCATGCACTCAGTAGTATTTACTTTTGTTGCTATATTTTTCTCATGATCTGCTCCTGCTTTCTCCTCTTTCTCAGCATCGGCTTTAGTAAGTGAATAGTTCAAGTCTGATGCCCACCACCCTGAGCAGCTGAAGAACAGGTGAGCTACACTGACTAAGAGGAAACTTCTATCAGGTAGCAGCAAAAGGATATTACTACAGTTTTGTGTGTAACTGCACCAATGTCTTAACCTGGTAAGCGATCCCATATATGTAAATATATAGTCTGGCCATGACCCATAGACAGAGCTCAGTTGTCTGGGCGAAATCTTTGGTTGTCTTTTAAACTGTCTCTGCATGAAGTTGGACAGTGATAGGACCAATCAGAGCAATGAACAATGTGAAGTATTCATCGCTATGGAAATCATTCAACAGGGCAGTCCACCATACAGCGTTGAAGAAGAAGCCCATACAAAGTTGATACCGAAGCAGTATCAAACCAAAGCCGTCCCTGAGCTTCCACCATCTTTGTAGATTTGCTCCATCGCAGCTGTGCTGTCATCATAAAAAAAAAAGAAGCTTTGTTGTAGTGGTGAAAAAACATGGCCTTCCTACAAACTTAAAACGCCGTGATTGGCCCAGTCTAAACATAGTCAAGCCAATGGTAGACGTACGGGTTATAATGAAGCATGGCTAGACTATATACTAGACTGTTATACTGCTATAGTTTGTCCAGATGTCTAGGCTACCAATGTCTATATTTCGCCACTAAGCAACCGACTTAACTTTTTCCTAACATACTCATCCTTTTTTTTATTCAGGCAGTCCAGCAGATTGTTTCTTTCCTTCAAAATGTAAACACCACCATCTCCGAGCAAACAGGAATTTGTCTACCCAGGGCCATAAACCTTATTGGGTGAAAATTTAACGCAACGTTGAGAGGGCCTCAAAAACCACAATAATTAATATATACATATGAAATTTTGCCTTAGAGCCAATTATTAAACACCAATTATTAGACACAAAATAGGCACTGCATCAGATCCTTGAGCATCTGGGCTTGTTTATTCATATTGTATGGGAATGATTTGAGTGGTCCTCCTCTCCCCTTAAATCCTGTTGTTCATGTATTAACCCTCTGGAGGCAGGCGTTGCAGATTTGCAACGTTAAAACCTACCTACCTGGTTACTCCACATACGTATTTCATGAGCATTTTTTAACTCAGAAGTACCCCTGAAGGACTTATCCTTTTATCAAAACTTATTTTGAGCCTGAGAGGTTTAAATGATGACTCAAGGCTATCCCATACGGAGAAAACCAGTACAATTTGGCTCAGGATTGACTGCAATGAAGACATTCATAGGCCAAACATGGAAACCGCCTAACAACATGTCTTTTGTACACTGGCTTCAAGTGCATTTGGACATTGCCTATGGAACTATCAACAGCAAGGATCAACTTCAGATACTACTGCCTCTTGGATGGACTTGATAGGTAACCTTAAGAGCTACTGACTAGTGGACACGAGGGAAAGAGTATGAAGAGTGGGTTTTGAAATGTAAAACCAACAATAGTGATTTATATAGAAAAATAACAGTAGTAGGAGTAAAAAAAAAAAGAGTTTTCTGTCAGTGTGGTCTGTTGGAACCTGTGGTGCATAAAGACCTGGCTGAGCGTGTGGCACGCCAACCTCGTTTTAATGAAGCCCTTCTGGATTGCCCTTCACAATCATTAGATCAGCATAATAAAGAGAATGTGGCCGATGTAAGAGGAGTAAAAGGTGTGGCAGAGGTCAGCTACTTGGTGTGATAGACAGCGACCTATTAGGCCTGCACGTGAATGGGGAGGGGCTCATGTGGATTCACAACCTCAGTTTGTGCCTGACAGGCCCCAAGGTCACGTCTGCTCACTGCTGAGGAGGCTTTTGTGATGGAAATCCTGTGGAGGGAAGTTTAACCCCTACAACAATCTGAAACCTGGTCCCCTGTGTTCCAAAGTTCCCCCCGCGGTCAACCCAGGCTCCAAAACAAAAGAGACATGCTGCAAATCGTTGTTTCTGGACCAGGCCCTACAGTCAAGAACTGTATACTTTTAATTTGAAAGGAGTTTTGATAAGGGGGAGGAATGGGGTAGAAACATTACAGAAAGTAAAAGCCATCAGAATGAAACAACAATGATAACTAAAATAAGCTCATAAACAGACTTTTTATTGCCAAACTAACTCAGGAAAAAAAGAAACTATTCTAAATTTCAGTCAATCAATCAACCAGCCATTGTTGTAGCTGAATGTGGTAAACTAATAGAACAGGTAAAACTACAGTAAAAATCATAAAAATTTGATATAAGAAGAAATAATTGTAATTATTGATTAAGTGATGACTCCTTTGGCTTGGGTCACAAGGGGGTCACGTCATTTGTTGTTGAAATTTTGCTGCTAAATTTTTGCTGATGGTTACACACATTTTGTTGAATTTGTGAAGATAAAATTCTGCGGTAATTTTACGGATAAAATGTTTGCTTGTGTGTTTTAAGTCAAAAATATTAAAATACTTAATTACACAGAATAAAAATTCTATGTCATAAATTCAGTGTCTAAAAAAACACCATATTCTGGTGAGACTGTATTAAGATTTAATATAAATTATTTAGTGTTTATTCAAAACTAACCAAGGTTGTACAAAAACCCATAACAAATTCCACCAAGTCATTGTTTTTAGAGCAAGTCAACCCTACCAGACTCTTACTCCACTTCCACTTCCTTTTTGAAAAATGCAACAAAAGCTGTTGTCTGGCAGACAAATACACACACACACACACACACACACACACACACACACACACACACACACACACACACACACACACACACACACACACACACACACACACACACACACACAGGCTCACACACACACACAGGCTCACAACGACATTGTGACATCATGATGTACCAGTTTACATCATAGCATACCTCTTAGCCAATAGCGGTGGCAGATTTAAATTCAAATGCAGTGCAGAGTTTTTACCTGAAGGGGGTGCAACACTGACAGTTTTAGACAGGATATTAAAATTTTAACTAAGATGCACTAAAGTGCAAACTGATTGTGTACACGTGTCTACAGCATGATTAAACACTCATTTATATAGTTTATCTGCAAAAACAAAGTTGATTTGCAGGTGACTTGCGGAAAAAGCAAAACATGGGAAAAGTTCTAAAATTTATTTATTTATTTTTTTCATTTTAAAAGTGATTCTGGAATTTTCAACTGTAGCCATTAGTTACCATGAAAATAATGCTGCATTTTTCCAAACCCTTGACAGTCTAGGACTTGTGAGAGGACATTTCCACCTGCAGACTAACATCTTCCCAGAAACGGTAAGAAAACATCACTTTTTAGTCAGATTTTCCACTCTGCCCCTTTGAAGCAGCTGTCTGAAACTTTAACTTTTGGAAGCTTTGGATTTTAGCAGTTTTATCTTACAAATCTTTGCTATTGGTGCATGAAATGTCTGCAGCAGAATAATGTTAATAGCAGAGGTGATTTGGGCTGTCTTTGAGAACTTTAAAAGAAAATCAGTAGATTTTATTTATTATAAAAGTACTGAGTGCATTGCTACCATCACATTTTTATCAGAATCAATTAAACATGGGCACATCTGTTAATAGCTAGTTTATTAGCACTTCTTCACATGAATTGTGTGTGTGTGTGTTTTTTTAAATATATCCCAGAGGTGATTCCTGGATAGAGGAGTGGAGTGAGACTAATAGGCAAATGACGTCACTGGAAAAGGTTGGTTGATTTCACCTGTGGAGCTGAGATTTTTGACGTTCATTGAAGTTGCTTTGGATAAACACATTTGCCAAATGCATTAGCATAAACACAACCTTGAAATCTGGTTGCTAAGAAACATCTGAAGCATTTGAAAAAGAATGAAGACAAAATTCCAACCTTTTATACAACTTTATAATTATAAATGTTGTGTCTGTTATGACACTTTTGTGTCAATGTCTTATGACAGATCTTAGTTCATCTGCTTATGTTTTTCCTAATGTAAACATGACTTTGTGAGAAAACATGTCTTAATGTTACTGGATTAACTGTTTTATTTATTAATTTATTTATTTTTGCATTTTTTTTTCAAAGAACCCAACCTGCATAGAAGATGAGAAAGTTCAGGAGGAGCTGAGCATCAGACCTTTGGATCAACCTACCAAGAAGAAGATGCTGCACAGCTGTGACCAGTGTGGAAAGTGCTTTGGTTTTCCATCAGAGTTAAAATGTCACCAGCGTGTCCATACTGGAGAAAAGCCTTTTCCATGTGACCAGTGTGGAAAAGCTTTTACTCAGTTAGGGAACCTGAATAAACACCAGCGGATCCACACAGGAGAAAAGCCCTTTACCTGTGACCAGTGTGGAAAAGCTTTTACTCAGTTAGGGAACCTGAAAAAACACCAGCTGATCCACACAGGAGAAAAGCCATTTACCTGTGACCAGTGTGGAAAATGTTTTACTCTCTCTGGGAATCTGAAAAGACATCAGCACATCCACAAAAGACAGAAGAAGTAACGTGTGTGACCAATACAAGGAGTTATTCTGGCATATTCACTTTGTGACCAGGAATTAAAAACCGTTTTACTTGTTCAATAACTCTTTCAATAATATTCATTTGCATTCATCTCATTGTGTGGAGTTTTTCCTTTTTAAATACAAAAACAACAATTAGCTTTGCATAACAAGCATTCTAAAATTACTGCATTTAAAATTTTATTTTTTGCTTTAAATATATATATATATATATATATATATATATATATATATATATATATATATATATATAAATTTCTTCACCCACTGAATACATCGTTGAAAGAGAACACAGCAGTGTGGCAAGCCGTTTTAACATTTATTCAGCAGGCTGAATATGTATTCCAGAAATAGATCTGTAGTAGAAATCAACATTCCACATATGCATAATAACATTCTTATATCAGGAATGGACATTATGGATAGTAGGAAAATGAATTCTTACTAGGAGGAACTTGTTTATTACAATTTCAGGATCTCTAAAATATGACACAATGGCAAGAATTTATTTGTTCCTAAGATCAGATTTTATTTATAAAGCACTTTTCACGCAAAGTGCTACTCAAAATGCTTTACAGAATTAAAATGACCCCAAATTCCCATAACAGTTTAAAAACAATTAACACACACACACACACACACACACACACACACACACACACACACACACACACACACACACACACACACACACACACACACACACACACACACACACACACACACACACACACACACCAGTAAAATTTTATATTTGGCTGAGTCCAGATGAGCCAAGTAAGGTAAGGCAAGGAAACACCATCAGAGGAGCCGTCTGCCCCAGCAGCATCAGGTCTTCCACACTAAGTCAGGGCGATCAGAGGACGGAGAGCATAGACCCCCACCTCCACTTAAACACTACCTGTAGAGCGCCCAGGAAGCAACAGTCGACCACCGCCCCAGGGGCAGAGGGCCCCTACAGAGAAAACACTGGATTAAAATGAGTAAAAATATGAAAATAAAAGAGCTAATATAAATGACAAAAGTAAGAAAATAAATAATAAATAAATTCATATGGACAGTAAAATTGTAATATTATTAAATAATAAAACTGTGCCAACTCTAGCATGAACTTTATTTCTTTCTGCAGGACGGGCACCAACTGCTCAGGTATCCTGCAGCTCCTCTGCCAGGGCGGTGTGTCCTCCTTGACTCTTATCTTGTGCTGCACCAGCGATGTAAACCCAGGAATCTCCTGTATGATCTGCGGATCTAAAAGAGATTCAGTGTCCTCCTGCTCAGAACGGGACAAATGAGAAAGGTCAACCAAAGCAGTCTCTGACCCAACAACTGGGAAGAATTTCTCCTCCGCTTCCTCACCCACTGCAGCACGCACTAGGAACTGTTGCCGTACAGGGTCCTCGTTGGTATGAAACTCCTTTAGCAGGCTGATGTGAAAAACCTGCTTTTTCTTAGACCTCTCTGGCATAAACAGTTCATAGGTAACTGCTGACTTTTCTGACAATTTCATAAGGTCCGTGCCATTTTGTCAGTAATTTATTGTCACTAGTAGGAAGCAATAACAGTACCTTTTGTCCTGTAATGAAACTTCTCTCCCTGGCTCTCTGGTCATACCAGGTCTTTTGACGAAGCTGGGTTGTTTTCAAGTTCTCCTGGGCCAAGGTTGACATCTCCTCCAACTTGTCCCTCATCGTGACCACGTATGCCACCATGTTGTCTCCCTCTGACTTTGGATCCTCCCAGTAGTCCTTCAACAGGTCCAGAGGCCCTCTCACTTGTCTTCCATACAAAAGTTTAAATGGAGAGAAGCCTGTGGAAACCTGAGGGACCTCCCGGTAGGAGTTCAGTGATGAATGAGCGTGTCTGTGCTCCACTAGGGGGCGCTCGTCCATAACAGGTGAGGTTGACTCAGGTTGATCTTCAGCCGGAGGCCGCAGGAGGACACCGGGGCGGTGGAGCTCCGACGAGCGGATCCACGCACACAGGGGGACCGGGGCACCGTAACGGGAGCAACCGGATGCGCCCTTCCCTTCGATTCTAACCATCATCCTCGTCATAAGCGCTTTGTCACGGTGAGGAAAACACCTTTTTACTGCAGGTCACAGGCGAGTCTGATGCTCTGACCTAAAAACACTACAGCTCTGCTAACCAGGGATTGTAACTGGAGCTGGAGTCTGTCATCATGAAGCTGATTGGTGGAAAGTTCATGAATGTGACTGCGTTTCATTGCTTTTGCTCCGTCTTGCTGGTGGATGACATGTTTGCTGCTCCTGTCAATTTCTGTTGCTATTTCATTTTGTCTAGAGCAAAGTTTTATTTATGTTTGTGGCTTTTAAGGCATTGTGGTAAAACGTTGGGTCAGGTTGTGTTTGTTTAATAGGTGAATGGTGTGTGTGTGTGTGTGTGTGTGTGTGTAACTGAATTTATGTTCTTGTGGTGGTTTTGTGTCCCTCTTCTGGTCTTTTTGTTTATGCTAGTTTTATTTTGGTCCTCATTTGTGTTTTTGTTATTGTGATCTTCTTTCCAGACATTTATTGTGTTTATTGTAGTGCTAGTGCAGGGGCGGTTCTAGACCAGTGGTTCCCAATCTAGGTTCCATGACCCCCCCCAAGGGGGTCCCCACACTTTTGTCTTTGTTGAACTTGTGAGGTCACCAATATTATATTTGTAAAAATTACATCTAATTTCAAAATTCTGCACACAATTATAAGCAAGGAGAAAGACAGTTGCATGTATCAAATAAGGTCTGTGGTTTATTTTCTGTTCCGTTTACATCGACTATGGGGGTTTTAACAGGAAATGATAGCGTCCTCTCAATTCTGGGGCGTGTCCAAAACCTAACACTTTGCTGCCGGTGGAAAGGTACTCACCCACTATAATGGCGGCTAATTGCCGTGTCGTACCTCTCGCAGCTGTGTAGCGACGCTTTCACGAGCAGTGGAAAGAAGGGGTGAGTGCTTGTTGTTATGTAGTCTAATTTACTGTTGTAATAATCTAACTTACTTAATGGTTTAATGTTGGTTGTTAAATAATAAAGTAGCTTCACAGAATTTGGGCAGAATCAGATAAACTTCTATCTAAAAGCCTCAGGTCATGGCTGTAGTTTCAGAGATTTGTGTGTTTTTTTCTTGGCATGATGATTTGTTAGGTTGGCATACATAGGTCTGGAATCATTTAATGAAATTTTTTATGTATTTGCAGAACAGTTTGGATGATTTATAGACTCAACATAATCTGATACACTTTATTAGAAGTTAATTTATGTACACATTTGTGATCCACCGCTCAAAAAGCCTCTGTGTGTGTGTGTGTGTGGGGTTGTTAATTACTGCTATTTGTGTGTTGCTTTGTTTTGGACCTGACTGTGCGAGTCTCTTCCTGTCCTTAAACACTAGGTGGAGCTATGAGACAAAAAACACATCATTCTTGTTTCCTGCTCCTGCTGTCCTCTGAATGTCACCACGGTGAACTGATGACGGGGGAGATGGTGTTTGGATTCCTGAGCGTCTCAAAGGCATTAAGTTGTTTAGTGTTAAAACAAACTGCAGCTCATCAAGATCACTCAACCTTTTTTCTTTTTATCACAGTGAGGACCGTTGGGTCCTGGAAGGGATTTTTTATTTTTAGAGCTTTCCATATTGTTCGTAAGGCATGGAAAAATGAACCTGTGTCCCAGAGATGTTTCATGCTCAGTGATCCCTCACGGCTTTAAATTGTTTCACCAGGTGTAATCGTCCTCCTGAAATGTCACAGAAAGGCATTTGGTCCCAGTGGGCTTTTATAGCCCCTCTTTTATAGTATTGAGTCCTTAAAATCAGCTTGGGTGAGCATGAAAGTGGATTTTTGCTGGAAGAGTAAAGGGAGGTTTCATTTCTCAGGTAATAGCCAAAGCATCGGGCACAGCTCTATCACATGAAAACTATTTCTCAGCGGAAAAACAAAACAAAACAAAAAAAGTGAGTCTAGTTTGAGTTAACTGCAACTTCTCTAGTTTGACTTGTTCATTTTCCACCCCGAAACACCTACAGGTAAAGACTAGTCATTTCAAAACAAAACATTTCAATAAAACAGGAGTTGGTTTTTTTTCCCACAAGAACCAAAAATAGATGTGATTCAGGGCTGCAGGGGAGGTGGTCCTGGCAGAATGGATCTTTCAGATGACTGCTTTTTATGGATGCATGCCAGGCCAGACTCAGGACTGGAGACTTTGTTTGAGAAACCGAGGCAACTCTTTCAAAGTAATTTCTCAGCAGCCATGTGATATTTTATTTCCTGTCTTTTCCCTGCAGCTCTATTAGCAGAGTAAATGATGCTCTTTCTGTTTCCTCACCTTTATGCGTCTAGCGAGCAGCTTTATGGAGCACATGTATTGCATTTCATTAGAAACAGATTATTGTGTTTAACATGCAACCACAACGGGGAGCTCCTCACCACCGGGAACCCCTAAAGTGTTTCTTCTAAGAGCGGCTGTGTTGGACTCAAACCACAAAGACCCTGCCCTCCAGTTGCAAACATCTGTGAAGTTGGATGACAACAGTTTATGCCCAGTCCCATTTTCTCTTGCCGCTGAATGATCCATTAGTTCTGCATTACGAGAGGCAAAGGATAAAAAGGGGTCATTTTTTCTAAGCAGATCTGTCACAAATGGTCAGATTCATTTCACAGAAATATAGGAGGCTGTTTTTGGATGGGGTTTAGTTTATTATTTTGTTCTTTAGTAAATTTATTGTGCGAGTTTTGGGGTTGCATGGTGGCAGGTCCGGTCCAACAGGTGGTGGCCTGACACACTGAAGTTGCAAATGTGGTATTCTGCCCACAGAGGGCGGTAGGGGTCTGAGTGACATTTCATTAACTCTGTAAAGGGTCATTTTAGCCCATACTGGCTCAAGAAAATGATTTAAAAATATGAAAAAGTTGCATAATATGGCTTTAACACACCAGCATGTAGTAAATAGGCTTCTGCAGATGATGAGCTTTTGAACAGGTAACCAGTGAATCAGCCTCAGGTGTGTGGAAGTAGTGAAACACAACATGTATGGTGGCCCTCTAGGACCAGGGTCGGACACCTCTTAAGTAAACAAACACTGCAGC